TGAATGGAACATTGAAGTAGGTCCCCCAACTCTTGCTGAAGTTCAAAAGGCTATAGTCAATCTGAAACGAGGAAGGGCAGCTGGTCCAGATGGATTGGCTCCAGAGGTCTTTAAGGATGGTGGTCCAATTTTAGCGATTAGGTTGACTAATATTTTAACTAAAATCTGGGAGTTAGACGTTATTCCATCTAACTGGTCACAATCACTTATCGTTTCAATATATAAGAAAGGGTCAAAATCATCCTGTGACAACCACAGAGGGATTAGTTTAACTAATATAGTATCTAAAATACTAGCCTCGATAATTATCGGACGCCTAACTAAGACTCGTGAACTGCAAACACGAGAGAACCAAGCTGGCTTTAGACCTGGTCGTGGCTGCATCGACCACATATTCACCATTCGTCAGATTCTAGAACACAGGCATACTTATCGGCGTCCGACAATGGTGGTCTTTCTCGACTTAAAAGCAGCATTTGACTCGGTAGACCGCGAGATTCTGTGGCAGTGTCTGTCATTGAAAGGCGTACCTCGGAAGTACATAAACCTTGTAAAGGCTCTTTACTCGAACACTACTAGTCGAGTCAGGGCTTATGGCGAACTGTCATCTACTTTTGCAACTTCAAGTGGTGTCCGTCAAGGCTGTCCACTTTCTCCATTTTTGTTTAACTTCATCATAAATCTACTGATGGAAATAACTTTCTCGTCGACTGAATTCTCGGGTATTGATCTCCTTCCAGGAGGTCCACTTATCGACTTAGAATACGCAGATGATATAGTCCTGTTTGGTGAAGACGCTGACAAAATGCAGAGTCTTCTGGTAGCACTGAGCAACAATGCCAGAATGTTTGGGATGCGCTTCTCTCCCTCTAAATGCAAGTTGTTGCTTCAGGACTGGTCTGCGTTAACACCTGAACTAAGGATAGGGAGTGAAGTAGTCGAATGCGTTGACAACTTCACTTATCTTGGAAGTCTGATCAGCCCTAATGGGTTGGTATCGGACGAAATCTCAGCACGGATTCGAAAAGCTCGATTGGCTTTTGCCAACTTACTTCACCTATGGCGAAGGCGAGATATCCGTCTATCAATAAAAGGACGAGTATACTGCGCGGCAGTCCGTTCTGTTTTAATTTACGGCTGCGAAACATGGTCATTAAGAGTAGAAGATACTCGTAAGCTATTAGTATTTGACCACAGATGCCTTAGAAATATTGCTGGCGTCTGCTGGGATCACCGGGTAAGTAATAGTGAGGTTAGACGCAGGGTATTAGGGAATGATGGTAAATCTGTTGATGAGGTTATGAATCTTCATCGACTGAGATGGTTGGGCCACGTGTTACGTATGCCTGAACACCGATTACCACGACGTGCAATGCTATCCGGTATTGGAGATGGTTGGAAGAAAGTTAGGGGCGGCCAAACCAAAACGTGGCATCAGTGCCTGAAGTCACTAACTTCTAGTCTGAGCCATGTTGGTAGATGCAGACTACTTGGTTGGGGTCCGCGTGACTATCGTAACCAATGGTTGGAGACTTGGTGACATGGCTCAGAATCGATCACAATGGCGTCGGTGTATACACTCCCTGTCTTCCCTTAAACTAAGAGATTAAAATCGCTTCATATCTTTCTTTCTACGAACCAATTCTTTCTTCTTGTACTATATCTCTATATGCAATCTTTCTCTTATATATTACCACCTTTGACCTAACCACTGCTATGAATCCGGTGTTCATCTTGTTGTGCTGATGCGGTATGGCAACCTGGACCGATGTACATATGTGCCTGGTCCTACGTTGTAGCTGACTGACTGACTGACTGAGCGGTACTGTAGATGCGCACTTCTAAGGAGTCTCACAATAAGACGAAACGGCCTTCCAGTGCTTCCAGGTTTTCAATGGTGATCTAACATCAGTCGGTTCATGATTTCAATCAAAAATATTATTAAACACTCGAACTTAGATGGAATTTACACAAGAATCTTCTAGCATCTACTTAATTCGTCCACTAGTACTGGTTCGTTCCAATTCGGGCGTGATTACAGCTTACGATAGACCTGCTAATATCAGCATATTAAAGGATTGAATTGATTTGAAGAGTTTTAATTTTGGTTATCAATACAATAGTAAAGGGAAGAAATTAGGTTTGCGCTCATCTAATAGGTTTTGAACTACAGAATCATATCGAAATCTCACAGAGACGTTCATGTGCTAGTCAAATTAAATACATCCTAATTGCCTCATTAAAAGTATTTTATACATTTAATCACTAAGAAATTCTCCACACAAAATTTAAAGTATTGTGATGCATTCCATTCTAGTGGTAAACAGTCAAGTCTTTACTGCATTTATCATCAACTGTGAAGAAGTTTTCTGCCACTTCTATTCAAAAAACATTCTCCATTATGTAATATTTTTGTTAGTGTTTATTGCGTACTTGTCTTGAGTCTTCCATGCATGAATTTTTTGGTTTTTTTCGCAGTTTGTTCCGCTAAAAGATGGTTTAGAAGAGAGGAAAAAAATCAATCAATACGATTTCTCCCTTTATGTTTTACTGTTTTCGTATTGTTTAAGTTTTAATCCCTTTATCAAAGCTTATGAATGAATAACACGGTTAATAATTAGTTAGTTAGGAATGTAAAATATGAAAATCCATTGGAATATTTTCGCAGTTGAGAAATAAACAATATAAAAGTTGATTTTATTCAAACTTATAAACACAGATATTTTACAATTATTTTACTGGGTTTTTTTGTTGTTGTTGTTGTAAATTTACTATCATATACGGAACAATGGCTATGTAATTCAAATGAACGACTTTTGTTATTAAACCCTCATAATTCAAGAGGACAAGTCAACATTGAGAAATATACTTGTCACGACTCTCTAACAGCACTTTGACATGCATAGACAATCATATTAGACATGACCTTGAGAATTATTCGCCCAGCCTTTTTAAATGATCGTAATAACTCCATAACTGGGATGTTTTTTCTTTTGATACTAGTTAGGTTCTAAGGCAATGTAACATTTTTCTTATAAAGTCACTTTTTATGATTTACTAAACAAAATCTTTTTTCTTTGTAATCCCTTGAAGAAATTCATGAAGTAATTTTTCTGGATCTTTTTCATTGAGTATTAACTGGTTGAAACTAGTTTTTATTCTGCTCTGTTTGACTCACTAAACAAAATGCGAAAAAAGAACATTATTACTTACACCTATTACTCCTCATGGAGTAGCATAGGTCAACCACCAGCATTCTCCATTCAACCCTGTTCTGGGAAATCCTTTTCAGCTCCTTCTAGTTGTTATTCATCCTTTTCATATCTGCTTCTATTTCCCGACGTAATGTGTCTTTTGGCCTTCCTCTTTTCCACTTCCCTTCAGGATTCCAAGTTAGAGCTTACCTTGCGATGCAGTTTGGTAATTTGCGCAATGTATGTCCTGTCCATTTCCATGGTCTTTTACTACTTTCCTCTTCATCTGGAAGCTGGTTTGTTCTCCCTTATAGTAGACTGTTTCTGATGTTATCCTTCCAATAGATGTTCATTATCTTGCGTAGACAACTATTTCTAAATATTTGCACCATCTTGATGATGGTTGTGGTGGTTCTCCAAGTTTCATCTTTGTACAATGGAACTAACTGTCTTCACGTTCGTATTGACGATTATTATTTTGATATTGGTTGACAGACAACTGGCTTGATTTTCATATGTTCTTCAATTGTGGGAATGCTATCCTTGCTTTACCAATCCTTGTCTTTACATCTGCATCTGATCCTCCTTGTTCGCTAAAAAAAACGCTAACTAGAAAAAATAATTCAAGCCAAAAACACAACATTAGTTTCAGATTTTTTTCGCAATGAGACAGTTTTGGTTAGTAATCACATAAAATAGGTTGTTTACCGATTGTAATCAAAATTTAAGGAGTGATGGAACACCTACACAATGTATTCTATTCTTGAAATAACTAAATTATTGTTCTTTCGAAATTTTGATTGGTTATTTTATCACACTGCAATAACACTTTATAGTCAGTTGGGCGGTTACAGAATTTTTTTTTCAAAAAATTGAGAGAACATCTTGAATATTACTAAGCAACAGTAGGCTGTATATCATTAAAGCAAAAAAGTCATCCATTACACACTAATGATAACACATTTTGATAAAGTCAATGATTATTAGATTACATAGTGTTCAAGATATCGTTCTGATACAAAGTTAAAATCTAGTAAATATTATTTTCTAGTTTCATTCAACTCACATTTCTCGATTCTTGATTTATTCCATGAGTTACAGATACTTACTGATAAGCTTTCTAATTGAACGCTAGATTCAGTTCCCAAGCTCTTCTAGTAACCACCAGGCTAAATGTACACAACAACTTGAAAACGAGAGAAAAGGCGTGAAATATAGAAGAAACGCTTTACTCCAAAGGTTCATTTCTGTACAGAAAATCTAGGGTTTTTATAGTATTTTAGATGGTTTTGGGTTTCCGAAAAATTCTAGAACGCTACTGTAACATGATAGCAGTATAGGTAATCATCCAATCAGAAATTCAACATATGACTTTTCACTTTCTAGATGTTTCTGATAGAACTTCTAGTGAATGCTAAGTACTTTATCGTCTCCTTTCGTGACACATGCTGTCGAAGAATCCATTCTGAGGCACGCTTTCTACACATGAATACGGCTATTCGAGAGGAAAGGTAAAATGTGAGAAAAGATGTTCTTTAGGATACTAAAACTATCAGTGGCCTGTGTCTCACCTCTTGAAAACGAAAGCCATTTCTTAACCAATCAAATGCACTTACCAGCCGCTCATTTCTGATTGCCTCACTGTATCACTTTTCTTGTTTCAGATATTTTTATTGTTAATAAACTGATATTTTATCTACACAGAAATAGACGACAATACTTTGTAAGCTTTTATTTAGTTTTAGCATAAAGTTAACATTAGTCTTTAATTTCTTGTTTATCTCTTTTGTTTTTGTTTGTTTACAGGTATGAAAACGGATATTAATTTAACATCTAAGGAAAATTCTACTCGACCTCCTGCTGAAGCATTTGTTATAGATTTTAGTTCTTCGAAACCTCGTTTAGAAAGACCTGCATCAATATCTGGTAGTCTTAGCCAATGTGTTCCTCTGAAGCTTCGTCAAGGTTTAGATGAAAGGGAAAGGAGGAAGAAGGAGAAACAATTAGAAGTTAGAAAACAATCTACATCCGGAATAGTAAATAAAGTAAGAGGATCATGATATCACATTCATTTTCTTAGGTTTCTTTTTAACTCACCCAGAGTAGGTAAAAGAATTCAAACTAAGGTGGATAAATTAGCTTTTAATATATATATATATATATATAGAGTGAACGAAGAATTGAGGTGGGTAAAAGCAACTACTGCTACATACCACTTACATCTGTCAGTACAAGCAGCATGCGCTGCATATATATTAACTAGGTTGTAATTAAAAAACGTTTGGAGTATTTGAAATACGTCAAGCTTCATTCAGTTCATTGTGGTGATTTGATGTTGCTGCCAATTGTTCATTCTATTATTTCATCATTGTTAGTACTAATATTTCTACAGTTTTGCATTCTACCATTGTTGATATTTCATCACTTTACTGATGAAACATGTAATGAATTAGATCGATTTATATTATGTTTCCGTTTTCTTTCCACAATCGTTATGTATCTTGTTTTATTGATCTAGTTACCGCTTCATAGTTATATATAAACTTACTTTATCAGAAATGTGAATTTTTAATTTTTAATTAATTCTCTAATGAATACTGGCTGTTTTCTTTCTCAAATTATGAATCTCATTGTGTGAAAATATTCACAAAAGCTACTTATAAATAGTGATATTTGCTAACTGAATGCTATTGATTAGCGAGTTGTAAAAAACATCTAGAAATTATCAAAAGTATTTTATACTTTAGTCAATTTGAATACTACCGTTCAAGTTATTTATATATATTATCTGTAAATCCTTAGTAGGTGTCATCTCATGATGACATCTATCTTAATGCGAACCACTTCCTCCGTTAGCAGGTGTAATACCACCAGTTTGTAGGTCCGAACCATCCTTCCTATTAGCATCACTAATACTCCATATAAACTCTGTCATTCAAAGCTGAGTACATAAACTTGCACTTGGTAAATTGTATGACCTTGGTCAGCAATCATCGACTTGATGGAACAACAGGCTATCTTACATACTATAATGCACCAAGATAGGTAGTTCGAGGTTTTAAAATCTTGTTTACCACCTTTACCTAGTATTTAGTACCCTCGATGCGGTGTAAATATGTTATATCAGTAGGAAATATAAAGAATTCTGCAATCTAAATTTACTGTTTTATCTGTCATTCTTCTTGCATTAAACGGTTAGATGAACTTGCTAATCTGAAGTGCAAAATTGTGTCATTCTTCTGCTTTATTTGTTTCTAATTTCAAATAAGTTAATAAGTATTTGACTAATTGTCATGTCCTAGTTGCCCACATCTCAGAAAGGCAGTTTTTTGAGGTGCCTGAAAAGTCAACTGAAGTGTTAATGGTCAAAGCAACTTATGAGACTTGGCTGTACAGCCAGAAGGGAAAAGTACATGAAGGCAATCAAACCACCCTTTTGGGAGAAAATTTTAATGTGTCATCTCAGTACCTTAAAAACCTTACAGACAGTGATAGAAATCTGTGTAGCATGATGAGGTGTGCCATTCAACGTTTTCTATCCCCTTCCTCGCATTGTCGGAAAGTATCATTACTGAAGATGCTAATAATCTATGGGAAACACCTTACTACTGTTATACCTCTGTACAGTTAGCAGTACGACTTTGGCCTTGGACCTTAAGTCGCTACTTCTATTCTTTCTGTTTTTCAACCGATCTACTTTTCATGGTAAGATCTAAAGAACAAGTATTTCAACGAATATAGTTCTATTGGGTCATCACGATAGGCACTTAATTTTGAATAAAGCATTATAAATATTATAATCTTTTTTTGTATTTGTTTAAATCTTCCGATTGATGTTTAGGATTGCAATCTATCAGTCTCTTATTAGCATATATACATCCTGTGCGGGCTGTCCTCGATATTGTCTTTAGTCACAAGTATTATAAGCAGAGATGGATGGTAGCTAGCAGTGGAATTCAACACGGGTTTCGAGTCCCGGAGTAAACATCAACTCTGTGATATAGGTACATCCAACTGACGAGTCCCAAATAGGATGAAACTTACGTTCTGGATTCCACTGCAAGCCACCATCTATCTTTGCCTATATTGTAATTATTGTTACAAACTTCACTTAAAACATATATTTTTTCTCAGCGTATGAAAATAATCAGTAAAATTGTTTGCATTAGTATATGTATATATTAGTAGAAAGTTGATTATATAAATGAACTAATTGATACCTGTAAATTATTAATAATAAATAATATTTAAGTTGTTAACACATTATAAAATTCAATTATTTCATTATACGCTTGTTCTGCTTCGATTTAATTACAGGTAGTGTTAGTGTATGGTTATATGTACACATATGTGAAATACAGACTGTTAATAACATCGACCGTACAACTTAAATTCTTTCATACAAACTTTATGTTTTGTCTGTTATTTGTTAATCCGTATTGTGTTTTTGTTGTTGTTGTTGTATCATATGATCTTTGTTGATATCTTTATCCTTATAACCTTGTTTACTACACTGTGTTGCGTATGCATAACTGCCGCCTTCCTCGACAAGTTATGTTAGCGCTTGTGTAAGAATACGTTAGAATAAAACTAATAGCGGGCAAACAAAAAAAACGACATCAGTTCATGAAGTTGATGATTGGAGCTCTGTTCATAGACTTGGTCGAAGTAACCTCAGTCAGTATTTGGATAGGTTAGGTGATGTGGTTTAAAATCAATCACAACGATGCAGATTGATTCACCCTTAACATTACGCTAGGTCTTGAGCTCCAAAAATTTTCTAAACCTACCTTTCCATACTATCTTTTTGCAAATTATATTTTCAACGTTTAGTCACTGCTCCCTGTTTTTCAATAATTCTTTTAATTGTTAACAGTCTGTGATAAGAAATGTAGTTGAACAGATATCTAATTGTTTAGACTATACAGTCTATCTTATTTTATCCTTTAAGTGAATAGATTTTAAGTTATTCATATTACTTCACTGACTATTGGACTGTCAAGTTTTTTCTTCTAAAATTGTGATTATATGACAATCGGAACTACACACAAACAGTTGGTAACTACATCTAGTTTCTTTTCATTCATCTACCAGACGTGTATGTTAAATTATTCATTTATTTATCTATTTTTATACGAAACTCAAGATTTAAGCAAAGAGGAACCCTCAGTGTTCTGCTAATAAACAAAAAAAGTTTATTAACCAGTCTCTAAAGTAATTAAATAAGTTCAATAAAGATTTTTAGAGAGTCTAATCTTCCATCAGTATTTAGAACAAATTATCGTTAAGACCTAAGGTGTATTTAGACAGCTGTTTCATCCTAGTTTAGAATTTATTTGGAGTGTTCACTGACAATGTCGCCGTAGCTCGAACCCAGAACCTTTAGGTTTCGTGGTAACAGATGAATTATAAAACTGCTTAGTTGTCATCCTATAGTACATATTTTGTGATATGATGCAACAGTCATTCAATCCTACTAAGAACGAATATTTCACACCTTGCATCACTGAACCCCATCCTTTACTAGTTACATCTATGACTTCAAAAATTCACCTCCACATAAGTTACTAATGACTAGACAATTACTGTTTTGATGAAGGGTTTTTCTTCGATGATTAGTCTAAATTGTAGACTTATTACTCTGAATTTGATCCATAAAAAAGCACCACTTACAAATAAGGAATAAGTTTATTTACAATATTTTCTTTTAATAATTATGTATTTCGAATCGTTTGTGAGAATTATACATGTACTGGTATTTTATAGCGAAAAGTGGAATGGACGAACCATTCAGGTTTAAGATAATAGGTCTCGGATTTTGGCACGAAATTCACTCATCTATTTGGCTAAATAGAGTTTTGGCATTATAGCTGATATCAGTTCGTGATGAAAACCCTAAATGTAATTCTTAACCCTAACCATCAACTTTAAATCATAATTCTAATTCCTCACACTAGTTTATAATCCTCATTTGGTCCTGGTTACTAAGTGGACCCCCTCAAGGTCACTTAGCGTCGCTCAAAGTTCGTCCATGAATTATTGTCTCACCCGAACTCAATTAAAATAATCCACAACTTAAGAAATCAGCAATGAAAATTAATTAATAGTAGGTTTTGACATCTTATTTTGAATGAAAATAAAAATAATTCCTATGAAAGGAAGTTCATGGCGGGATTCTTTTTTGTCTTTAAAACACTTCCTTAATTCTAGAAACATAATAAATTGGTCGTTTTTATAGGATACTTTTAAAAGTAGATTGTAAGTCTGTTGTATGAAATATGTGTACTATAGTTATACATTGATTGATAAAAATACTCTTGATAACGAACATCGACATTATGGTCGGTTATGTAATCGCGCCATTCCTTGTGAGCTTTACGATCATCTAAATTTTGGACAAACTCCTAAAAGGAAGGGTGTTTTGATCGTAATTCAGGTCAGTTACTCAAAGAAAATTTTCTGTCATGAATATATCCATGACATCTTTTTATTCTGCATTTTTAATGATATATAAGGTCTTCAAGTGTTAGCTGATCAGTAATTGATAATTAATATTGTTAAACAAATTACTTACTTACACCTGTTACTCCTCGTGGAGGAGCATAGGCCGCCCAACAGCACTCACCATCCAACCCTGTCCTGGGCAATCCTTTCCAGATCTTTCCAGTTGTTATTCATCCTTTTCACATCTGCTTCTATTTGAGACGTAATGTGTCTTTTGGCCTTCCTCTTTTTCACTTTCCTTCAGGATCCCGAGTTAGGGCTTGTCTCGTGATGCAGTTTGATGATTTGCGTAATGTATGTCCTATCCATTTCCATGGTCTTTTACTACTTTCCTCTTCAGTTGGAAGTTGGTTTGTTCTCTTCCATAGAATGGTGTTGCTGATGGTATCCGACCAATGTGTGTTGAGTATCTTGCGTAGACTACTATTTCTAAATACTTGTATCTTCTTGATGATGGTTGTATTAGTTCTCCAAGTTTCTGTTGAACAAATTGCTTAGCAATAACATCAATTGATTTTTAACTGTTGAGTTACTTCTAAGTTCAGTCAAAATATCAACAACAGGATAATCCAAACCATTTCAAATTAAATTAAAATTCATGCTCGTGCACAGATGAATGACGATTTAAATTGAGTAGCTAAGTGGATAAGGGGATGATGTTTGAAGCGAACGGTATTCGGTTTGAGTCCTGGAGTGAACATCAACTCTGGGATGCATATACTTTCTACTGATGAGTCCCAAATGGGACTAAACATACACTCTGGATTCCACTACCAGCCACATTCCATTTATTTCATATAAATTTTAAGTTACCTGTTTAAACTGTACTTCGTTTTAGACAGTTGGGTAGTATCATTAGCCTTCAAATTAAACATTTGGCTCAGATTGACTACATAAAAGTCTATTTAGTTGGATGAGTTACGTTTAACTGGGATAAACGACAGGACTAATAAGAATAAAATTTTCTAAATTATTTTCTATTTTCAGTCACATATGTGTACACAAATCAAAATGGTGTCATATATTTACTACTTATAAAATCACATTTCTGTGTATTATGTAAGTGCAATTAATTTTAGACTATCAATTACCTGAATTATACAAAATACTGAGAACTAAAACAGATATGTGCATCTGTACGTTGTGTGTGTCGCTGTGTCTTCATGTGCGTGTATGCACATGTTCGTTCAGTCGAAAATAATGATTAGCTAATTGTACTTAATCATTACTTAATAAATAAGTTTAGTATTTAATGTGAAACTTAATGAATGATCCAGTGAGAATGTGGGAAGCATTTGTTTATATGTTAATAAAAAGATGTAATCAGTCATTATTGGTATCACTATTATTATTATTATTATTATTATTATTATTATTATTATTATTATTATTATTATTATTATTGTCGATTAGCAGTAGCTTAATCACCGATTAAAAGAGATGTCAATCATTAGAAGTTTATACTTCAATTACTTGTTGTCCATACAAATCTAACAGGGCACTACTGTTTAATGTGCTACATGATCATACTTTGTAATTGATGTGAAAAGATGTTGTATGTGACCTAATGAATGGTTGTTTTCTTTCATCATCATCATCATCGTCATACATATAATACTTTCTAACTTATTACAAGATCATTAACATTATTTTTGTGATTATTACAATAAAGTTCAGTTTTTGAATGTATTTATAATGTGTATTTGTAGTAATACTGTATAATTTGGCCTCATTCCAAATGAGTATTTTGGATGCATAAATTACACTATGGTGATAGTTCACTACTAGTGTTTAAATATAAATAGTTGAAAATTAAATGTATAATGATCTGATATTTCTACTTGATACATCACTGGAGTATTCCTGTTTTTACTTATCAGCGATGTGTTTAGAACCTTCGTCTCATTTTTTGATTTATTGATTGATGTATTGTAGATCGGAAAAATGATTTGCAAATCTTTACTGATTGGTCCGTGGATATTAGTGACCGATACAGTTTTTGTCTAGCCCTTAATACTGATTGAATTTCAGCGATCAACCAACCATCTAACATTGAAACATTCTATATCGAGTAACGTAAACTAGTGACCATATTACAACTTGATCAAACGAATTCGATCAGCACTAAGGACTAAACACAAAGGATATTGGTAATGATTCAGTGACTAATCAGTGCATTTCAGTTCTAAAGGAAATTGGTCCTAGCCTAAAATTGCTCACTGTTAACGTCTCTATGACACTCGATTATACGGATTTAAATCCCATAGTGGCCATTATTTCCATTGAAAATGAAGATACACATTTCTAAAAACTATCAACCAGCGCGAAATCTAAGCCCAGAGTTTTTTATGTGTAACTTAACTATACTACTATTGATATTACTATTATTTCAGCGCCGTTAGTTTTCACTTTGTCAACTTACCTCACACTATACTAGTAATATAAATTGCTACAACTTGAACAGATAAACATGTCCATACTAGATCCTACGTTGTTTCTACCAAATGAATATTGTCATTTTGATCAAATAAGTTATTTTATTTAGCTTTTATTATTCATAAAGATGCACCATTCTCCTTTATACATTGAACCATGATTGGATCATTCTTTATCATACACATAGGACTTGTTTACTTCATTCATGGACACCGGAAACAAAGTATTCCGAAAAATAATTCATGTTAACACAGTCTGAATCTATCAATATACTGTCGAAGTGTGTGTGTTTTTGTCTAAAAAGTATTGTTTTGACAAATAAAATTAAAATGGTCAGCTTGTACCGTTAGTTTAACTTTTACGTGTAATCAAATTGATTACCGTTCGTCTAATTAACAAAATGAATCGAATAGTTTCAAAGTAATTTGTTTTGACAATTAGTCGGTTATGTAACACTGCTTTTTACTTACTAAATGAGCAATTGTAATATTATTAAAAAACACTAGGAATAATATTTAATAGTGCTAATACTAAACTGTTTAGTTTACGAAATTTTTTAGATATTCATTCGTAATTGAAGGGGTTGTGTGGAGATCTGTTTGATTTGTAGGTCTTTTCCTACTAATAATTGATCTCACATGGTATACCTTTGAAAAACAGGAGTGAAGTAAGATTCTGATCCAAAGGTTCTGATCGTCAAGTGTTTGCTGAGAGACCTAAGGATCGTGGGTTAAACACCTGTTTAGGGGTTGTGAAAGGCGACTATTGAGGAGCCCATACCGGGACGAAACACTTGTCCACTGCATCCTGTTTTTAAAAGGTACCTCAAGTGAGATCATTGATTATTTGACAAAATTTTCATTACTGATTGTACTATCGAGTATTTCTAATCATCTAACATCAAACCAACACACCGTAGTAAATATTAACTTTTAATCAAGTAACCATGATGAAACTTGGTCTATAGAATTTAGTGAAGGTAGGCCGAATACCCCAGTGCTGATGTCTTTCTGACTATAACACCAAATAGCGAAGGTTTAAATCCTACCGGAACCATTATTTCCCACAAGACTCCAACTTCCCTTAGTGATGATAACTCTGAACTAGTACGAAACCTAGATCCAGGGCATTCTGTCTATAACTCTAAATTACCTATCGTAAAACAAGCATATAACAATTTGGTTTCATTTAGCCTGGTGACAGCATTGTAACTTCGTTGGTATATTGGCACCCTGCGCGGATCCAAATCATTACAAATCAAAATAAATTTCATACCCGCTGCATAATTTAGTGGCTATTTGAATTCATTATTTCAATGGATTACACTTCAGTGTCTGAAGTGGACGATACTGGGTTTGAGTCCCTGAGTGAACATCAACTCTGGGACACAGGTACATCCATCTGACGAGTCCCACATAGGATTAGACTCACGTCCTGGATTCCACTGCTAGATACATTTCATCAGTTTTCCCTTTGTTTCTTCCTGAAAACTTTACATCAGTTTACTTTAGCCTCTATATATTTACTTATGAGTTACATTACTGTTTTTTTCCAACCTGACTACATTTGTGTAGAATACAGTGACTGCCATGTCAAATTCGAAATCCAGTACTACAACAATACAAAGCAAGACAAATATGAATGAAATTCAGAAGATCCGTTCTCGTGGTGGATCATTATCTGCTAAAGGTTCTACAGTACGTACTTCAAACACCACCAGCAATGTCACCGCCACAACGACTACTACATCTGGGAGGTCGTCCAGTACAACCATAAACAAGAAACCTCAAGTCACTGTGACGAAATTAGACAAGCGAATAACTAGTAAACCTGACCCAGCGTTACGTACAGGACGGGTAGATAGTTCAACAAATCTCACTTCTAGTAGTACAAATGCTTCGAGACCTAACCTTACTGATCGTTCTAGAGGGAGATTATTTAATCAAACTAACATTAAAGGTTGGCAGTTTTAATAGTAATAATTCTATTGATTACTTCTGTTTCTCCATAATATGTCATATTCAAAATGCTTTTTTGTTTGTACTGTGACATTATTTTACAAAGGACACAAACATATCTTGAGATGATGGAGAAAATTGGTGCCTAAGGAGGAAAATATTAGGATTTTAGTGTTATTTCAGCTATGTGGTTTAATCGTGGAGCTTTCATTGTCGTTCAAAAATACATTGCTTTCTCACGCCTGTTACCCCTCGTGGAGCAGCATACTCTGCCCACCAGGAATATCCATCGAACTCTCATCTGGATAATCTTTTCCAGTTGCTATTCATTCTTTAGATATCTGCTTCAAATTCCCTACCCCATATGTTCTTGGGTCTTTCTCCTTTATCATTCCGAGTTAGGGCTTGTCTAGTGATGCAGTTTGATGATTTCCACAATGTGTATTCTATCCACCTCCAACGTCTTTTCTTAATTTCCTCTTCAGATAGATGTTTGTTTCTCTCCCACAGTAAATTGTTGCTGATGGTATCCGGCCAACAAATACTGAGTATCTAGGGTATACAATTGCTTATCAATACCTTTACTATTTTGACTATGGTTGTATAAGTTCTCCAAGTTTCTGCTACGTACAGTAGAACTAATTGTCTTGACGTTCGTATTGAAGATTCTGACTTTGATATTGGTTGACAGTTGTTTTGATTTCCATACGTTCTTCAACTGTAGGAATTGTGCCCTTGATTTGTCCATCCTTGCCTTTGCGTTATTAGTATATATTCAAAAAAAACAAGCCAATCTAGTCGACGTTTCCCACAGCTTGTTTCTATTGTCATGTTATTTGATTAGTTTTTATCCGTGGTTTCACCGTCATTGTTTCCATGCTTACTTCGACTACCATGTTTCTTAACCTCATCTCTATGGAAAATATTTGCCGGTGATTTCATCTAGAAAGAAAACAAAAGCTTCACAATTAAATCATTAAATTCAGAGGACGCAGCCTATGTAAAAATGTCAATAAATTCCCTAAAAAATCCCTCTAGTTGTTCTCTACCTTATTACGTCTATTTCATTTTTCCTTACTTTTTCTGGTCGATTTTTTTTAATAAGGAGCTTATATACTGTGAAATTTCTTAAGTGACCGGTAATCATTCAATAAGCTCATAAATTATCATTTTAGTGTACATACAATATATATGACACATCATCTAGTCGAGGAGACGGAGGATGTATTTGTGTGTGTGGAACAATGGTAACAAATTGCTTGAAAAATATAACATTCGGATCATATATTTTTGTATGAAGTTTATCCTATACAACTCTCATTATGTATCACTGTGACAATGGTGAGAAAAACGAGCAGTAGTACAACATGAAATAATCAATAATAAGTCTGTTAAAATAAGTAACCCCACTCTAAATTAAAACAAATCGACAATAATACCATTTCTAATGTACTACTAATTTGTATTCGCAAACAGAATAGCATTATTAACTTAGTAGTGTTATTTTGTTTCGATTTTATCCACTGCCTGTTCATTTATGTTTACGATGAAAATACAGTTCACTGAAGCCTTTCAAATAACCTTGAGAAAGTAAGATCAGTTTGTAGCTAATCAAAATTCAAATAATATACATGACTAAGTTGTTAATTTAAAACTTAAAAAAAGGATAACGACTAGAATTAGGGATTAGGATTTATGTTTAAGAGTTATGATACTCTCACATTATGTACTCACTGGTGACTAGCTTCTAGAGGGAATTCTTTAAGTTCTAGTGAGAAACCATGATCAATGGAGTTTAACTGTATCGGGTATGAGGCAGTTACCCACCAAAGACAATGGAAGATGGTTGCGCGATATCGTGGATTTGTTGAATTTAGATACTAACGCTGTTTGATGCCGACTCAGTTTAAGCGTTCTCACACGAGGCTGAAGATTTTGGGTTCGATCCCTGAGTGCAATACTGTGGATGCACACTGTTAAGGAGTTCAATACGTCATTGTGATCGATTCTGAGCCATGTCACCCACATTCTCCAACCATTGGTTACGATAGTCACACGGACTCCAACCAAGTAGTCTGTATCTACCAACATATCTGATATCAAAAGTTAGTGACTTCAAGCACTGATGCCACGTTTTGGTTTGACCGCCCCTAACTTTCTTCCAACCATTCCTAACACTAGTCAGCATTGTGCGTGTTCATGCATGACATTCTATTATACGAAACCAAACCGTTAAATTGATACTGAAATATTCATAAATACTGGATACAATACATTTATTGAACAACCAACAGATAGTTTCAAAAATATATGATTATTTGTTAGCTATTAAATTACAATTATTTTGTAAACATCTTGATTTTTTTTAATAAAAAATGTATTTGTTACTTTGAACAATTAAAAATGTATAAAGTTTCATCTGTCGGCGATTATGTTCCCAAGTAATTTAAATGTTACTAGTGAATTCATGACTGTCTAATTGTTATTAGTAGTAACTAATGACGTAATACACGTCATAATGTGTTGATTGAAATTTCGTTGAGTAAATATGAGTCTTTTTTTATAATTATTTTAATTGTTACACAGTCGAATCAATATATATGGTTAATTGTTCGAATCAGATTGTAGATATCAATGAAAGGTTTCAGATACATTCAAATGATAAGTTCTGAATAGGACGAGATTCACGTTTTGAATTCTGCTGTGAATCACAATCCAAATGTATTAAACTTACATAGGTTTTGCATTGAAATCATGGACTGATTTAAGTTTGATGACAACTGAAAATCTAGAAGCACGGGAGAGCTGTTTGATAATAGTATAGGATTCTTCAGTAGTGTGCATCCACGGTTCCTCTACCGGGTATCAAACCTAGGATCTTCAGTATTGGACGCGAGTGCTTAACCTCTTGACTACTGAGCCAGTGTTAAGTAGTATGGATATCTAACTTCACCCATTTATCGAAATCTTTGGATGTTATTGAGGTCACCAGACCGATCTAAGTTAGTCAATCATCAAAAACCTCTAAGCACTGGATACTATCAAAATCATAATCCTGAAATACGAATATTCTCATTTATTTCATTAATATTCCGTTCTTGCCATTCTTATAACTACTATTAATATAACAATTATCATCCTGTCATTCATTGTGTTGCAGAGCCCAACTGAATATGAATGGGGCTATTACTCGGAACTGATATCATGTGAAAAACTTTTTTAAACAGTTAGCACGTGATAGTTGTTTCGTTCTAATTTAGAACTTCTCAGTAGTGTACGACCTTGACACCTCCAAAGATTGAACCCACAACTTCAGTTTTCACGATGAAAACAATACTGTTGTGTACTTTTAGCCCGGCTAATTATCGCGTGACTTATTCATCAATCGGAGTACGACACTTACAATCTTAGCACTATGCCAAACCAATGATGTATCGACCAGTATGAGCAGCCTAGCGTCCTTATTAGTACTTTATCCTCCTAACCCTGCCAGTTGTGTCTAGAACACCAATACCAGCTCCCACTATACGAATCATTTATTTCAAACATACCTGGTTTATATACAAGCCAAACAGACTACATCACACTACAAAATAGTAAATAACATTTGTGCAAGATCTAGACAAAAGTGGTTGTGATTGTAGGAGACTGTAATTAATAAATTGAGTATGGTTTAAGGATAGTAAATCAAAATGAAGCTTATAATAAAAGGAATATAGATATACATAATCTAATTACTGAGTAGTTATACAATAAAAATATACGTATAATATTAGTCCACAAATAGGTCCCAACAATTATCTTTAATCAATACCAATGTGGAACATACTGATCCATATTTCCATCTTCAATCAATTTTTTAAACACTACAATCGTCATTTACTATTTGCGCGATATTTCCCTTACTGTTAAACTTATTGAACTTCATTGGTCACAATTGTCTATCATACGTTTTGTAACTTATCTTAAAGTTAATAACTAGTGGGCAATAATTATAGCAAGAATGCAAACTTTGGTACAGTATGTTCCTTTTTAAACATGATGCTTTTGATTTTCCGCAATTAAGTTTATTATTGCACAGAAACGTGATCATTTTAGTTTGCATAATATCTCGTGATCATTACATATTTCACCATGTTATATTTCATTTACATAAAATATTTCAGGACCTACACAATCAAACAGAACAAATGTTAAACCTCCATTCTCGGTTGGTGGACGTCGAATTTCCGCCGGTGCTGCATCACTAACAAGTCAACGTACAGCTCCTAGCCAATTAAATCGATCCAAAGTTCCAGTGGTAACACGTGGTTCAGTACACTTGTCTACTACAGGTTTAACAGATTCACGTTCTAATCTACGTGGGGCATCGTCTGCAACTAGACAGTGTAAATTTTCTCTTACCTCAGTTTTGTCTACTTTATATTTTGTTGAGAGAATAGAAAAAATACTGGGATTGAGGTTTATTTACTTATCAAAAATATAGTTTACAATCAGAAAATGTTAATTTTATCATTTAATAGCCTTTTAGTTTAATCTAATTAGTCATTCAAACCAGTTTCAAGTAATGGCTTCCAACTTTTAATTTCGTTGAAATACATTCAAGCTTTCAAAACGTATATGCTTATATAGTTTGATTGATCACTAAGTCTTATCCAATGTCATGTTTTCTTAGTCCTTTATTGTTGATTGAATTCTATCAGTCAGGTTTGAATATGGTTGCTTGTCTAATTGACTTTACATCATGTGCACTATGTTTTGAAATTAAGTGGTTAGAGTTAGTTAGAAAAATGCGCTAGTTCATCTACGTTTGGTGCTAGCTGATAGTTGGCTAGTAGACAGTATTCAGGAAATTGATGTTCATCGGTGCTTTCATACTCGGATAATCTAACCTCACAGTCTAAGACATTACCGCTAAGCTATCCGGGCTACGGCTGTTTAATCCTTTAGTGCTGATCGAATTTTATCTATCTAGTTTTGTGCTCATTACTGCGGAAGTGTTTGAGTTTGTGGGTTTTTTATCTTTAAAGTGAATAATACTGCTGTAACTTGTATTGATTTTGTTAATGAGTTAACTAATGTGGCGAACAGATGGTGATGAGAAAAATATTACATAGTGAAACCCATTGTGAGATAAATCCATATACATTTTGCAGAGATTTTAATACTGCATTCAGGTTTGTATTTCTCGTCATTATTCATTTTCTAATCAATTTGTAACGTTTTCGATATTGACTAATATCGTCTAGAAAACCAGCATGCACTGAGTACATTTCTACACCCCAACGACCTCATTTTTGACTGAACTTAAGGCCATCAGATCTTCAGGCGACCATCATCTCTTTGGATCACCGAGTTGAAATCCAGCGATCCATGTCTCCAATCTCAGTCGGTTTCTAACAATAATTGATTTAATACACGTTGAGTTGCCAATGGTCGTATTTAATAGGTGTTTTGTCACACTGTTTTTCAAGTGATCTGGAATGACATTCGGATTGCTGTACTAAATGTGTTCTATTATTAAATCCTTGAAAAAAATCTTATTTTTATCATCTTGATTTCTCTTAGCAACTGTACAATATCGTGGTGTTAATCGTAGCTTTATGACACCGACAACAAGTTCCGATGCAAAACAAGTAAAAACAAGAGAATCTATTCGCTCAATGCCAAACGAAAGTCCAATCTCTTCATCACCTAAATGTGATTCTCGTCGAACTTATGAATCACCTATGGGAAATAGTGCTAAAAAACCCATAACAAGTACATTTTTACGTCGTGGTACTACTCAAGGACGTGTTGGAATCTGTCGTAAATTATCTACTGATAATATTAATCAATACTCGAACACTAGTAAATCTTCATTATGTGTCTCTGATCGAATAGCATCTGTAGTTTCTACCATTGAAGCTTACGATGATCCAAAAGCTTATTTATTTTATCGAATGTTTCAAGGTGTAGAAGAAATTGAAACCACAACAACTGATGGTATATTTCAAGCATTTTCACCATATTCATCAATAGACTTTCAAAAACACTTTTCATCTGAATCCAATGATACAAATGAACAATTAGATTATCATTTACATGGTTATGGCATCAATGAAAATTTTCAAAATTTTCAAACTAATTCGAATGTACAAAATAAAGTTAGTGATTGTATTTATTCTTTAACTTTATGCAAATAATTTTTCATGGAAAGATCTGTATGTATTTTACAAGAATAGCTTCTCTCACTAATTAATGTCAACTAGGAAAAGCCCTTAGAAGCTATAAAATATTTAATTCTAATGTTTGATTAGAATTTGTTTTTGAATTTATTTTTGTAAATCGAAGGGCTCTTCGGCAGTAGTTCATGCTAATAACCCTGCAGGGAAACAAGCTCATAGGCATCAGACTTTTCAAAGATGTACATAATAATATTCGGACGCCAAACTCAAATGCATTAGTTTGGATTGTCTGTTTCAAATAGTTTTTTTTAATACAGCGAGTTCTTTAGTCAGTATGATCATTTAATTACTATCTTACTCTCAATTTCCATGACTGAATAGGTTACATCTAATGATCCGTTATTTTATAAATTACATTTCAGTTGTTGAGATCATGAGTCAATTGAAGCTAGACCACCATGAAAAACCTGGAAGCACTGAACGGCCGTTTGGTCCTATTGTGGGACTCCTCAGCGGTGCGCACCCACGATCCCGCCTCGCGGGATACGAACCCAGGACCTACTGGTCTCGCGCGCGAGCACTTAACCACTAGACCACTTAGCCGGCTGGCATCCAACAGTGTTAATGTCTAAATTCAACTAACCCACGAAATTGAGCGACACATCCACCATTGTCATCAGTAAGTTACTGCCTCACAACTGACCCGGTTGAACTCCAGGATATACATCTTGAAAGCCAGTCACTAGTGAGCATATGTTGATTATTATCAGAACTAATGATGGTTTTCAGCTTGCAAAATGCAGCTTCACACTCTTTTGTTCAGTTCTAAATAGTATTCTTATTCAGAAGATAGTGTAGTGGAGCGCTTATGTCATACATCGACGGAACAAAAGCTGAGTAGTAGCTAATTAATCCCAAGAATGATCGTAACTCAAAGATATTAGTGGGAGTCGGCATCAGTTTTATAGCTTGGATGTTTTCAGGATCTGGTCTGCGACCTGCGGCATCAAAGATGAATCCCAAGTAGTTTACTGACTTCAAGAAAAGCTGACATTTTTTTGGGCGTAATCGGAATCCGTTATCGCTGACGCGTTTTGGTACAACTGTCTTGCGTTCTCGAAGCTGTTGTAACGATGTGGCAACAATTAAGATGTCATCGAGATAAGTTGCGACCCCCGGGATACCCGATAGAATGGTATCCATTAGTTTCTGAAAAATAGATGGAGCTGTCTTAACACCAAATGGTAGGCGATTGTGCTGAAACAAGTCACGATAAATATTGATGGTAAGTAGCTCTCTGGATTCTTCATTCACTTCTACTTGTAAATAGGCATCAGCTAGATCCAGCTTTGCAAAGAACTTCCCACCATTTAGCATTGTGAACAAATCTGCAGGGACTGGCAGTGGGTAATGAGAGTTGTGTTAAGACCTGTGGAAAAATCTGCGCATATTCGGATTGTGCCATTAACCTTCTTAATAACCACAATGGGTGCTGCCCAGGCAGAATAAGAAACAGGTGTAATAACTCCCTGTAGTTGAAGGCGGTTTAGTTCTTCGTCAACTTTCGATAATGCTGCGTACGGCACTGATCTCTTTGGACGGAAGACAGGTTTCAACCGAAGTGTTGCTTTCATAGCGGTGCACTGACCCAATACAGGCTGGAAAATGGTTGAAAACTCCGTCACTAGTTGTTTCGAATATGCTTCAGGTTCATGAGGTTGTTTCATCAGATGGCATACGGTGCTTAACGGAACGTCAGCTAAATGTAGCCGGTCAAACCAAGTAGATTAAGATCAGCTAGTGTGATGTAACATGCCCCGGTAAACGTCGAGTCGTGAAAAGAAACTTCGAAATCTAGTTGTCACAACAAACGTAGATAATTACCGCATGCAGTACGAGGTTTTTGTGTCGTTGGCACCGTTCGTGGTCTTCCCATTCTGATCCAGTATTTTCGTGAGAGAATTGTTACGTCAGATGCGGTGTCTATTTGCAATCTAAAAGAATGGCCATTAATATTAAGGGTAATAAATTTCCTCTCACCTGGGGTTGAGTTCTGACAGGTTGCTATTAGACTCAACGAATTTGTGCCAGATCTAAGGACAGGCTTTCTGGTACCTCTGGAGCTGCTCGGCTTCTTTTTCTTGACAGAAACCATCTTTATGACCCACAGCTTTATGTTTCCTGCACCGGTGTTGTTTATATGGAAAGTTTCGATCAAAATGCCGTGCACTACAGTGCCAGCATGGAGCAGGAGGATTTGTTTTTGTCTTTTGACGTGAACTAGATGTCTCTGGGACAGATTTATGCGGATTGGTTGGTTGTTGAACTACATGAACTTCGGTATGATCTGGATCACCAAGCTGGACCATCGTAGTGTCACGCTGCAGATTGATTAGACGTTGATATTCGTTTGCAATATTATTAAGAGTTAGTTTTGGGTCTTGGTCCAATTGACTTAGCAAGCGTGTTCTAATGTCACTGAACTTCTGCGATTGAAGGCTGCAGATGAGAATGAGGGCTTTAAATTGGTCTTCAGTTAACGACTTCAACCGGAAGCGTTCGCATTCTCAATTGACGATACCACATGTGTGAGAAAATCAGCATCTTCGTTCATAATGAGCTTCAAACATCGATAGCGCGTATTGAATAGTGAGGAGTTGTCTCCGAATTGTTGGCTCAATGACTGGACAGTGTCCGATTTCTTTCCTAGTCATCTTGTTAATTTCGTCTTGTCATGCTAATACATTAATAGGAACTTAGGCCAACGTACATTTGTGCAAAACCCTACTTTTATTATTTCCGATTAGCTGATTTCCTTAATCAATAAACTACTGCAGCACGACAGTTTTGTTAATATTATAAATGAGTCATGAATGATCGCCATACATGTACTCAACACACTGTCTATAACTGAAAATTCGCTTCATTTTAATAACTAAAGCTTATTTCAAATTTTCACTTATCTAAATTCCTTACAGTTTTCTGGGTTACTTTCGATTGATGATGAAGAAACACCTTATCAAGATCTTCCTTCTCATCGTTCTGATTTAACAACCATATCAACTTCAAACAGTAGGACATTAGCAACAAAAACTCCAATTTATTTATCGAAATGTTATACAAATGAAATCCCGACAGATCAAGCTCAAAATATCGTTAAATCTTCAACTGTATCCAATAATAAAATTAACTGTACAATACATGAGAATGATGATGCAACAATGGATCCAACATTAAAATCAATGAACCTATCCATGTTTGTTAGTACTTCTGTCATTAGTTTAACACCGAGTCAAACAGGAACTTATGTAATTGATGGAGGCGATGGTATTGATGATGATAATGAAGATAATATTAATAATACAAATCAAGATTTCTTACAGCATTCCGATGAGCAAAATATTCATTTATCTAAAGATAATGACTTATTAACACCTCGTGGAAGTCCTATAGGCGATATTACGGCGGCGGGTGAAGTACTGAGTCGTCAATCCACCAATCGTTTGTCGAATAATCAACAAACAAAACAATTGCAACAGTTTGCAAAAGATTTTGAGGTAAAAATCTGTTAAGTTTCTCTTTTAATATTAGACAAATAATTATATTCTATTGATATTTTAACGTAGAATTCAATTTCAGCAATTTTATCTCATTACATTCAACCTCTTACGTCTATCCCGTAATTTAAATACGTTAGCATACATACACCTTAATTCTTCTACTGTAAAACATAACAATAGGCAGCAATAATCTTATAATTGATGCGGGAAGTTACAAAGTATTTACATAATACATATACATAGCGTTCAATCGCTCATTTGCATCTTTTGGTGTATTCTGCCATCTGAATTATCTCCTTGTCTGGTCTCCAAGTGTTCTGCCTACCCCGTACTTTCGATGAACTGAAACTCTTCACTCCGCCTAACAATCTTTTCAACTTCGACGCGACGTTCCGCTACATACTACTTGCAAACAGTCTTGTGAGTAGTGTCCACTACAATACAGTAAAAATATAATGGCTTACTTTCTCAGTGTTAGTGATATTTTCTAGTAGGTACAAACTACTTTTATCGTTAATTTATATCGTAGCTCCTTTTTTTGGTAATAAAAATCAGTTTTTTAAAGCAAGAAAAACAATTCTAGTCAATCACTTGTAAACTTAATCGAATTTACATTACAACATGTGGTCTGATTGTTCATTATGTGTTCGTTTAAATTAAAATGAATGCAGCTGGCCCAGTTAATAATGAACAACAACGAGCGATAAACACGTAGGAACAACACAAGATTTCCTTGTAACAAATCAGATTGAGCAGTGAAAGTAGAAACTTAATTGTCGTCAAAGATTATTAATTTTTACGTCTTATAACGCATACAGTTCCTGTATGACTTGTTCCTCTTCATTCAGTTTTGTCCTATAATGAAAAGTACACATTTGCGGTAAAATAGTTAAATCTAATGATTGAAATATCATCACATTACTTCGTATCAAATGAACCACTCCCTAAAATCAAAACATCACATTTTAATGTTAACTCCGATCGACTACATTCATACATCACAGCACATACATTAAAAGAACAAATAGAAACGTACATGTACTATGCATTAATGGATATCGTCTCAAGTAAATTAATATTCTCAAGTGCCTAAATTGTTAACATTGTAATCACTTAACCGTTAAGTACTGGCAATTAGGGTATTTCTACCCCTCGTTATACTACCATATTTTGATTTCACGCAGCGGCCTAGAAGCTGTGCTCATGACTCGGATTGACTCGTTCGTCCCTATACAATAACTTCACTGATATTTTTATACTGCTCAAGGTAATTAACAAATGAAATTGTATAACGTTGTTTCTTAATGAGGAGCGGTTAGTGTCAAAGAATTCAAATCTATTCGACACATACGGAAAGGATGCAGTTGTCAATTAATCATTGTCGTTGTATTATGAAATTTTGTTTTACACTCTCCCGTGCACTGGAGATGTATTTTGGTTTAATTTTTATCTATAAAAAAGTCATTATTATTTATGTACTCCAATTTGTTTCCATCATTTATCTAGAACTCCATGTTGTCTGTTGAACATGTACAAACACATACAGCAGCGCATCACCAATATTCTGGGAATAAACGATTGAATGATTCCATTTCTACAGTAGATTTAACTAAAACTTCATCAATTGAGAAACCTTTATGCATAACTAGTTCAACTGTATGTCTTACTGAAACTCATGACAATACACTACAGGATTCTAAAAATAAAAAAGATGTTTTACCATGTGTAATTGATAACTTAGAAGATTCTGATCATGTTGGAGCCTCGTTAACTAGTTTAACACCAAGTCACACAGGTACTTATATTCTTGATATAGATGATACATTAATTGCACAAGGTGTCCTACCTGTCATTATTCGTAACCATGAAACTTTAGCTTCTTCAGTAACAACAATCGATTCTGGTCTAAATGTTGAATCAGCGATGAATACACACGGCGTTATTGTAGAAAATATTACACCCAGAGGTAGTCCCATTTCAAAAGAGAAATTATGGCATATTGTAGAAAATGATAATGATGATAAAGGCAGAGACAACGACCTGGTGCTGGTTACATCAAATCAAAGCGGTAGACCATACAATATTCCATTTGATAATTGTGATAACGAATTAACTGGACAATTTACAATCGAGTCGTTAAGAGCTGAATTTGAAGATACGTATAAATTACTCCCATCACCTAATCAATTTGTTGATGGTGCCGATAGTAGTGGTAACAGTATGAATATTGTGGAATCATCAATACCGGTAAGATTTTTTTTCGCCTACTGTCAAATTAAACATGTATATATATATATAATTATTTTATTATTATGCTTCTTTATACTTATCATTTGTTGTTGATCAAGTGGTGTAGGACTAGGTTGGATGAAAGTTAAGGGCGGCCAGACCAAAACATGGCACAAATCCATGAAGTCACTGACAAGTGGACTGAGCCATGTTAGTAGGTGTAGACTACCTGGTTGGTATCCGCGAGATGATAACAACCGATGGTTAGAGACCTTGAATAACATGACTCAAAATCGTTTGCAGTGGCGCAGGTGCATCCATTCTAATCTTCTGAATTCTTCATGTTCCTTTTTTTCTCTTTCCAAATTTATCTCACTGTATTATACTCATTGAATAACATCTTCAAACCCTAATGTTTCCGATTACTACTTATATTTTTACTGCCTCTACCACTATGTGATTTGAATTGACAAGTGTATCTCTGTGCTAATATGGTATAACAACTCGAACTGATGTACATACATGCGAAGTTCTACGTTGTTACTGACTGACATCCCCGATTCTGAGTTGTTTGTTAGTATGTTCATTTGAAGTAGAATATGTCAAATTTCATTGAATTCAAGCATTTTCAAAAATTTCTCGTAATCCGAACTTTAATTCTTAATTTGAAATATATGTTAAGTAGTTTCCTAAGCTTTAATTAAAACAAGCTTACTAATTAATAATAACTTATTACGGTTGATACAAGCGTTACTAAAGATAAGATTAATAACATATCCGTTGGAAAATTTAGTGGCTATGTGGAATGATTGTTCCATCGGCCCCCCGAATGCCCTGGTACGGCCGAGAGTGGGGAGAGTCCGCTCTCCCTCTCGAAATACTCTCACACGGCTGCGCGTATACAGCCTCTGCCAGGGAAGTCCTACTCATTGCCTTCTCGTGGAGGGGGTGTTGTTTACGAAAATGAGAGGACGAAAAGCGAATGTCCGGCGCTTTAACCGGATTCCAAACCAATGGTGCACATGGGCTCCAGTATCCTGCGGGAACAAATGGCGTATGAACCAATCTTTGGTCACCGGCTTCCATGGGATTGCACCTCCTTACGATGCCCCACTGCCTTGTGGGTTAGACCTTTAGGTCAAAGGCTCGGGGAGTGGCCCCCTAAGATAACCACCTGCTTCGGTTTGGGCACCCGGGCAGTATCACAGCCCACACACAAATGATGAACTCGTTCCTGCAACAACTATCGGGGGATAAGTCTACTTCCGATTGCGTCCAAGCTATTGGCTTCCGTCATACTTCGTAGGTTGTTCAAAACCCGAGAAAGATTGACTCGCGAGGAGCAGGCTGGGTTTCGTTCTGGTCGAGGATGTATTGATCATATCTTCACCCTCCGCCAAATGTTAGAACACCGCCATACTTTTCAAAGGCCAACAATCGTAGTGTTTCTTGACATCAGGGCTGCCTTCGATTCGTTGGATAGGACTGTTCTCTGGGATTGTCTATTGAAGAAGGGTGTGCCTGAGAAGTTTATTAACATCCTAAAAGCCCTATATAAAAACACCTCAGGCAGAGTGAGGGCATACAACCACCTCTCTCCATTGTTCCATTCGAGCAGTGGGGTTAGGCAGGGTTGCCCAATCTCACCATTCCTCTTCAACTTTGCCATCGATGACATTCTGGAAACAGCTCTGATGAATGTAAGTAATGGTGGTGTGGATCTGTTGCCTGGAGAAAGACTTCTCGACCTTGAGTATGCGGACGATATTGTCTTACTGTGCGATAATGCCCAAGGCATGCAATCCGCACTTAATCAGTTGGCAATCAGTGTCCGTAGGTATGGTATGTGCTTTGCACCTTCGAAATGCAAAGTACTTCTACAAGACTGGCAGGATTCCAATCCTGTACTCACCCTGGATGGTGAGCAGATAGACGTAGTCGAGAAGTTCGTGTATCTGCGTAGCTGCATAAGTGTTGGTGGGGGTGTGAGTGATGAGATCAATGCACGAATAGTGAAAGCCAGAGCGGCTTATGCCAATCTGGGCCATCTTTGGCGCCTTCGTGATGTTAGTCTGGCTGTAAAAGGTCGGATCTACAACGCGTCGGTGAGAGCAGTTTTGCTCTATGCTTGTGAAACCTGGTCTCTCCGAGTTGAGGACGTTAGACGACTCTCTGTGTTCGATCATCGCTGTCTCCAAAGGATTGCTGACATTCAGTGGCAACACCATGTCAGTAATGCAGAGGTTCGGGATCGTGTATTCGGGCACAGAGATGATAATTCAATTGGTGTCACCATCTTGAAACACCGACTTCGGTGGCTTGGACATGTTCTACGAATGTCGTCCCAGAGAATTCCACGTCGTGCATTATTTTCCGACTCTGGGACTGGTTGGAAGAAGCGGAGAGGTGGTCAGTGCATGACATGGTGTCGTGGCATGAAAGAAAGCTGCAAAGGACTGGCTTGTGTTGGTCCTTCACGACTCCCTGGTTGGGATCCGAGAGATGGTGCTACACAGTGGCTAGAGACGTTATCAGATATGGCTCAGAATAGAAGCTAGTGGCGATCCTGCTGTAACCTTCTTTTACTTTCTCCATAAAAAGTGGTTGTGTCTCCCTTATTTGAAAGATTTCTTCTGATTGTACCTCGTTACTATCACATTACCTTACACCAATATCTTCGTTGTTGTTCTCTTTTTCTTTTGCGCTCCCTAGTTTTTTTTTATTTCTCTTCGCATTCTCATTGTTTTGTGTGGCGCATATATATTGGCGCTCTCTTGTACCAATATTTATGTGTTCAAATAAAATAAAAATAAATTGTTCCATCGGATAATGTGTTAGCGTTTAGAGTGAAAGGTACAAATTTTAAGTCTTAATGTGAACAACAGTAGTGAGTTGCAGTGATATCCAGCTGACAAGTCCTAAATTGGGACGAAGTGGGCTTATATGGGAATGATCTTGTTTAAAAAGATTTAAAAGCAAGAAGAATCTAAACAGTAGATAGATGGTGTAGTGACCTAGTGGTTAGATTTCTTGACTGTCTACCATTAAGTTTTACGTTGAAACCCTATTTCACTTTTTTCGTTTAGATCAGTCTAATAGTATCAATAAACTTTCACATAAGCATTTTGACTTAAAGTTGAGTAAATGTTGAACTGTAATAATTTGAAAAGTAGTTATGTCATTAATAAACCATGAATAATGATTAGAATATGAGTACATTTTTCATTATAGACTGAAATAAGTGAATAACATTACGAAACTAGAAGGCACTGGATAGTTAATTTTTCCCAATTTACAACCCCTAAACAATAAATACCCAGGATCATACATGAACTTGAACTCATATATGTCAGTTTTTACTTTTCTACCTGTTCCCAAACGTGGGTCTAATAATAGTCTAACTTTATATGAATTTCAGCTCATGATAAATGTTTATAAATTTCACTATAAACCTAACTTTATAAATAAGAGTTCTCGAAAAACATGTGAAAATATTCTGACTATAAGTTAAGTGAATACCTTGAAATAATATACTCATCTGTAGTTTTTATTGTGCTCAAATTTATACAACTGTATACACTCTTTGCAATTTAATCATTCCTAACAATTTGTTCAATTAGTCATCCCAAGATAAGTAAAGCTGTAAATCAAGCATATAGTTCTGTATACAACAGTTGATGAACTGTTTTGTCAATTTACTTATAGTCTAATTTGGGCTCTCGACTATTAGGTCGTCAATATTCATGACTGTTCATTTTCTATTCTCATACGAGAATCTGTAGTCACAAGTTTATTATACTTTCAGGTAGTAGGGAGCAATGGAATCCAGGATTTACATTTTGTTGTAATTTGTGACTCTAGCTGCATATCTGCATCTCAGTATTGGTGCTCGCACTGAAATTCGAAACTAGTACCTACTACTTGAAAATCTAATGCGTTATCCATTAGACTTCTGATTCGCGTTAATCACAGACATTTTCAATCGCTCTAACGCGTTTGCATTTAAAGTGATATGTTTTGGGTTCGAATCTTACTGTGAACATCGAAACTTTACTGCAGATACATCCGAAATGGAACAAAATACACTTCCTAGGTCCCGGTACTAGTTACTAGCCAATATTATATTTGAAGAAACCTCTGTACAAGTTTTCCAGCTATCTTTCTAACTTTCCTCTCATCTACCTTATCTTGCTGACTTCAAAATATCAAGTCATATTCGCCTGATTTTTTATTTTCTCTGTATTTTTTCTTCTATTTTCCACTTCTTGTACTTATTTACTACTGGTTGGTTGATTTATTGTTGAGTATAAATATTTTTGATTTCAATCAGTCAGTTAGTCAGTCAGTCAGTAAATAAACTTTGTTAGCCAATAGTTTCTATGATTGTCGTCATTTTCCTTCTTCACTTATGTGCGTGTGTATGCATGACAAGTACTCCTTATTCATCTTCGAAATTCCAATTTTCCTCTTCACAACCATGTGTTTTGGATTATTATTTATCATCATCGTCATCACTGTCATTGTTGTCATCGTCATTTTTACCTTCTGTGATTACGTAATCGCTCTACGGGTTCATTATTATGAAACCTGTTGTCTTGTGATTTTAATACTGAGCTTAAACAAAGCAAAAGAATTTCCATGTGTCATTGTTTTTTCACAATATTATCAGGCATAATTTAGTTAATTAAAATGGATTTTACAGGAATTCTAAAATTTATATCTAATCGTCGAAATGCGGTGAGTTGATGTTGCCTGACATCTACATTTTTCCATTTTGTGATTATAGTAATAATAATGATAATATCGTGCATGCTATTGTTACATTTAATTTGTCTATGCGTCTTGAATTATTTTGCCTAGATTTAAATCACACAATAGGGGCGGCCTGCTTGAGCATCTGGGCTACCTGTTCCTGCCATCTAGATATTTCAACAAGTTATCTATTGTTGTTTGTTTTAATATATCATTATGTTTATTAATCGCATAACCTATTCTGCTGCGTTTCTGAAAAGTGTACAACCTTTCGTTGTCAAAGTTACAGAAAACTCAATAAGAGACAATATGGTTGCTGGCAATGTACAACGAAAAGAATGTACATTATTCAGTTGTTCATTCACTGAAGTGCTAACATCTAACTGGCGATTCCTCAATATTTATCGCCAGGACCGACCAAGAAGAAAGAAACGGAAACTTGTTGAAATACTTTGCGCTGAGAATTCTATATTGTACCAAAATTATAATATTGAATAAAGCTAATAATAATAATAATAATAATAATAATAATAATAATAATAATAATAATAATAATAATAATAATAATAGTGACCATACCTGTTACTTGCTCGGTAGAATTCGATCATTACTACGGATTAAACATACATGATATTGGTCGCTATGTAGTGGTTAATCAGTTAACCAATCCTAAATTGAATTAATTGTTAATCACATTCGAATAAATCTAACAAATTAATCTACAATATTTTGATGACATTTAAATGTTATTTCGTATTAGTAAATGAATGCTACTAAACAATAATTTCAAACCAAAACGCGACGTTGGTCCGTAGAGTCATTGACTGTTGAACTGAGCTGTGTTGTTAGGTCAGCTACTACCAGAATGAGGTCCTCACTTATATCTTAACCGATGGTTAAAGACGTTGTATGATACTCCTTATGTGGTGAACGAGAACACAAGTGGACACAATCGAATGTATTTGAACACAAAATTGCAGAACATCTTAGTAAAATCTGAAAACCATACAGTCAATCGATTGTCTCAAACTTGACTGTTCCTTTTGCAAATATCAGTCGATTGTCTCAGACTTCATTGTTCTTTCGTTTCCACACCAATCATTCTTTGATCTTCTTAACCTTCTGCCTCCAGGAATTTCACTTACAACTGATGATACATACTACTTATATCTGTCGATACTAGTAGCACATATCACACTCAGAAATGGTTGCGATATCGTAGATCCATTTACTAATTTTAACTATATCTACTTCGTTGATAATTTTATCTCGTGCTGATATTAATATGACAACATGAACTAATGCACTTATGAGGCAGGTTATTTGTTGCATATAACTAATTGATTAACTGAGTAATTTCAAGATAGCATCAAAAATTGTTATAGCTTGTGGCCTGAGTGCCCTGTTGATGTATAACGTGATAATACCGCCAATTAGAGAGCAGTGAATTATCGATCAGACCAATGACACATGAAACCCATACGAGCAGTCTAGAGTACTTATCAGTCCAGAACAACAAGCTCAGCCTCTGCTACATGAATCATTTATTTCAAACATATTGAGTTTATATACCAACCAGACAGACCACATCGTACCATAAAATAGGAAACAACATTTATACAAGATTTAGCCAAATGTGTCTGTGAATGAGGGAGATAGTAATTGATAGACTGGGTATAACTCAAGAATGTTAAGTCGTATAATAATAGTTTTATAGGTCAAAATAAAGTTCATAAGGGGGACATGAATATGAATAGTTTAGCTAATTAACAATTATACGATAAAAAAAATATAGGTATAGTATTGGTCTATAAATGGATCCCAAAAATTAACATTCATTATTCCTATCGGGATATAACAAAAATACTACAAGATTGATTAAATTGAATAATTCTTTTTTTATATTTTGTTATTGTCCAATTTTTTTTCTTTCTTTCTACTAGCAATCCGAATCTCATAGATCACAAATGAAAACAACTAATACACATTCTGTACAAGGGAAAGAATCTAATCGAACAATGCCCTTAGTGAATACTTCAAATTTTACATTACAACATATAAATTATTTTGTTAAGCCTAAATCAATCAATTGTGCTGAAGTATCAAATAATCTTCAAAATGATTTAATTACCAAACAAAGTATTATTCACAATACATATACACAGAATAATGAAAAATATTCCAGTGTTCATAGTAAGTGTTTTATTTATCTGTTTATTTAAGTGTGTATTTTGTCATAATTCTATAACCTATTCAGTCAGTTATCTACAACGGTAGGATCAAGCAGGCCCATACATATATGCATCGGTTCAAGTTGACATACTTCACAAAACCTCATACAATTAGATTTATAAATGTGTATATGAGTTTACTAATCATTTCGAAATGTGTTAGTTGTGTTATTTTTATGAAGTGGTCTTTAATAAGTTAATTAATCCTTTCTATGCTAAATATCAGTATTATATTTTTTCAATACATGACTACAATCAATTCCTTTAGGTTGTATAACACTCATGAAATCCATATGAAGCTTCAGTTTACAATGGTTACTTATGGGAATAAATAACTAATTCTTAAAAAGTAATAATAATAAGATATCATTCTTACAAGAGTTTAGTCGCAGCTCCAATGACTCAGTGATACTGAATAATATGAGTTCAAACTTCATGTGTATTGTCATCGGTCTCGTGATTGTGAATGTGTTGGTGACAAGTGCAAACTGAGTAGTTAACTAGATCAAGCAAAGTGTCTTACTGATCACTGTTAACCGTGAAATATCATATTCCTCTTTCAATTTCATTTCCATACCGGTAACAGTTATTTCGTGGTGTATGCTACTTATGTTGATAGTTATAAGTAGTATGCAACACCGTTATCAGAAGTGCAGTGCTTGCCAAAAGAAGATCGAACTGAAGAAAACAGAAAAGGAAACATAAAGAAATTGAGAATTGAAAGAATCATAAAGGGACAATTGATGAAAGATGTGCAAATGAAGTATTTAATCCTTGGATTCATAATTTATGAAGACACTATAATTTTGCACTAAACGACAAATTGATTTTCCCAACCTGCATCCTCGTTCACTACAGTTATATTTATTTTATTCATTAACTATTTATCCCTACATTATAAACATAATCTACTAGGATTAAAACTTGCAAATGTCATTGTACAGAAATAAGATTTGTTGGGGAAATCCAATCTATTGGTTTATGAAAAATTACACAGTGCCTTCGTAGGATATGAAAATAATACATTAAATACATCAGTTGCATATCTTCCTTCAATTGTTCTTTGCATACTTCATCATCCTTCCGATTATGTTATTATTCTTATCGATCTTCATTTTCTTTCCCCTTTTCTTTATTTTAATCTCCTGGTAAACATTCCACTCTCAATTCTTGCTACATAACAATTACATCTGTCCGTATAAGTAACGCACACTACATTATGACCTCTGTACTGCTTTATGTTGTAGAGTAAATTATGGTTGTTTATCCTAATGTAAAAGTGTTTTTAATGATTATCATTCAAAACTGTAGTTTTCTTTATGATCCGTTTTCTCCTTGAAAGTAAATAACAAAATAGTTCTACCTTAAGCATCAATTTATTGTTTTAACGTTCACTTCAGCTTCTACAGTTATAATGGTAAATTATACTGAATTAAATATAAACACTTTTTATTTCTATATAAGACAACGATCAGTTTATCATTCTTATACTGTTAAACGGTTGGAAATTCTAGATGTAGTTAGGTTTTCTGATAGTTGACAATGACATACCTATAATCTTTAGGGGAATAATGCTCCTTGTTGGGTTCGAATCCATATGATAAAATCAATGCATATAATATATAGAACGTTGTAATTTATTCATGTTTCATATAAAACCATATTTGTAAATCAAATCATTGTATTTTCGAACGATTTAACTCATGTGAAATGAAATGAATTCATTTCATTCTCAATGAGATATTTGTTGTTTACACTTTATAAAGGTAACACTTCACATTAAGCAGTTTGTATTGTGATTGTAATTTGCATTTTATATTCGTTGACTTTTCTAAAATTGTATAAAGAATAAATGACATATCACTAAGATGATAATTAAAAACTATGTGTATTTTAAATTCACTTGGTATTGTTTGTTTGAATCCTCCCACATTCTGCATATTGTGTGTATTACCTCGATACTGTCTTATGTTACAGGCAATATATGCAAAGATGGATAATGGTTAGCAGTGAAGGCCAGGATGCGCGTTTCTTCCTATTCGGAACTCGTCAGCTGAATGTTCCTGCATCTCAGAGTTGATGTACACTCTGGGACTCGAACTCACTACCGTATGCACATATACCAATAAGAGACTGATCAATTGCAGTCCTAAACATCAATGGGAAGATTCAAGTAAAACAACACCAAGTGAATTTGAACTTCACTTTATTACACAAGCAAGTGGTCATCAGGACTCAGTAGCTAGGTGAATAACGCGATAGAGTTTGAAGCGAATGGTACTGAGTTCGAGTCCCAGAGTGAACATCAACTCTGACATGCAGGTAAATCCAGTTGACGAGTCCCAAATAGGACAAAACGCGCGTCCTGGATTCCACTGATAGCCACTATCCATCTTTACATATTGTGTGTATTTTATTTTTGCTCATTTTCTGCAATATTTGAGATTTTCAACGAAACAGTGTTGATTATTATAAACTAGCTTGTAAAGGTAGTCACTTTTTCGGTGGACAATCAAGTTCGAACTCAACATCATTTTATGTTAGATGTCTAGATAGTACTTTTTTAAAGCTCAGAACAGAGAAATAAAATTGCGTGAATCAAGCTCGGTACCTTGAGTTTCGTATGATTACTGAGTTACAGTAACTTAAAACCACTTGTGAACATCACATTACCAATCAGAATCCTAATTCTAATTCTGTCTGTTATTTACTCTATAGCTTAGTGCCGCCGATTTCTTCCGTTACACGTCCAACCAGAACTTTTGACATTGAGCTGGTACCTAGGTTTTTATAGACCCACTATTCTCTAACTCCTCTTCTATACCTTGCCTTTAGTCCAGAAGTAGCAATCAGCCCCTATTATACTTAGATTTCGAACAGACCTAGTTTAGATACTGACATACCAGACCATATCACACAATAAAATGAAAAATAACAATTATATATGAATTACGTGAAAGTGGCTGTAAGTAGAGGGAGAGTGTAAATAACAAGCGAGTAACCAAATACAAATGGTCAGTTCGTATGACAGTAGTTCATTAGTTAACCGAAAGCTTATGATAAAAGGAATACATATACATAGTAATCTTGTTACCTAGTAGTTATAATTAACAATAATCAGTAAAACCAGTTCCAACTTTTACAATATTCATTCCGTTATAATAAATACCAAACGAATAGACATTTAATATTTAAGTGAATATCGATCTGTTTATTAGCAGATCAAATAGTTAGTACAGCGATAATTCTTGTTTCCTTTCAAGTAGTAAACAATAACTGGTAGGTTTCTTTATTTAATCATATCTCTACTTTGATCAATTTGTCAATAATTAATGTGATTATTTCATTATAATTAGTTCCCCAATACATTAAAAATGTTTATATGAGATAATATACCCTTCCACGGTGTGGGCAGCCGGGAAGTGACACCAGCCCTCATACCGTAACAACACACGAGACCAAGTTGGTCACATTCAAATCCTTCCTACACCTCTTAATACCACTCTTATCTCCCCGTCTAACCCTTCTCACGTCCTTTTTCCACCTCGCACCGCTAGGGCAAACGATTCGAGTACGCGGAACGTTATTCCTGGTCCCCTGAAACCACGCTCTGAATTCGATCTGTAAATATTTTAGTATAGCAGTGAATACGATCTTATATATCTATTTTTAATTGACCGGATCATTTATGAAAAATCGCCCATTCATATGTAGATGAATCACTTCTATTTATTTATTTATTTGAACACATGAATATTGGTACAAGAGAGCGCCAATATATATGCGCCACACAAAACAATGAGAATTCGAAGAGAAATAGAAAAGAAAAAAAAAGCTAAGGAGCGTAAAAAAAGGAGAACAACAACGAAGAGATTGATGTAAGGTAGTATGGTAGTAATGAGGGAACGGAAAGGTACAATCAGTTTCTGTGATTGATTTAGATCAGTCAATCGCAACGTAGAACCTAATATGTATTTACATCGATTTAAGTTGTCATACCCTATTAGCACAGAGAGATGAAATTGTCAGGCCAAATCTCAGAATAGTAGAGGTAGGAACAGTATTAGTGGTGATAGGAAAGATTAGGGATTAAAGATACGACTCAAGAAAATATAAATTAGTAAAATAAAAAGACAAAAACATTTTATGAAGTGCTCACAAGCTCAGCATATAGGAGAAGACAAAAAATGCACCTGTGTCATTGCAAATAATTTTGAGCCACATCATTTAAAGTCTCTGACCACTGGTTACATTGATCACGCGGACCCCAACCAGGTAGTCTACATCTACCTACATGACTCAGTCTAATTATCATTAACTTCATGTGCTGATTCCATATTTTAGTTTCGCCGCCCCTACCTTTCGGTTTACTTCCATACTAAACAACATCGTCCTTTGAGGTAGATAGTAGGTGGAGATACGTAACACATGATATCTGTAAACACTGGAAGAACAAAAATGATTACATGGAATTTTATCAGCTAAAAATAGCTTCCTTATAATTTTAGTTTATCTGCAGTCGATGAAAACCCATGAAGTAGATTGGATTCATTTTATTCTGTAAGCTTTGTTATTATTGTATTATTTAAAAGGTATATTTGGTTATTACTTAAAATTACTACATAATACATTCTGATCCCTTAATAAGTTTAAATAAAACTTAAACGGAAGCACATTTAAACCAGGTTTTATGTGTCTTATGCATAATTGAATTATTAAGTAATACATACCCTTCAAGATTCCAAAGAAAGGAGACCTGAGCAAATGTGAAAACTACAGAGGCATAACACTACTGTCAGTACAAGGAAACGTCTTTAACAGAGTTTTGCTGAACCGGATGAAAGATGCAGTAGACGCCCAACTTCGAGATCAACAAGCTGGATTCCGTAAGGATCGGTCGTGCACAGACCAAATTGCGACACTACGGATCATCGTCGAACAATCAATTGAGTGGAACTCATC